ACCAGCTCCAAGCACTAAAGGCTAATGTATTTTATGTACATTCTATCTATTTCACTGGTTATGCTTTTGCTGTTATTTTTAGACAGTACTATTGAAAATTACTCTGTAAAATATTTGAAAATGCTGATAATGATGCAGTCATACATTTTTTATTAAAAAATGATATATGCTTTTATATTTCAATATTTTTATTAATAGTAATACAAATACAATAATAGAAAATGTTGCATAAAAATTAACATCAGTTTCTCAGGTTGCCATAACAGTAAGAATAACAATCAGTAATATTTCAAAGAACCATCCAGAAGACCAGCAGATACTGAATCTTATTACCAGAAATCTGCCTGATAGGCACCCTAAGCTGTAGGGATAGTAAGCATTCCTCCTCCGAAAGGCTTGTAAGCACTAATGTAATCCACAACAAACTTAGGCAACATCAAAACTGATTATAATATGTGCTCGGAAAGACGCATTGTTGAAAGCAATTTCAGCATGAGAAGAAGTAGGAGGGGAAGGTGGGGAGGGGGGTATGGGATGGGAGAAAATAGGGGAAACCAACATACAATTTCCTGAGACTAAGACTGTGGTAATGGCATTGCAATAACAATTGAGTCACCAGGAGGTGAAGAGCAAATCAGAAATGCAGAGAAGGAAGAAAAGAAAAGAAATACTGAAAGAGAGAGGGTCAACCAGGGACTCGCTAAGGAACAGACATGTATTGAATCCACGGATCTCATGTCTTGTCAAATTTTTTGGTATTATTATGGAGGATACAGATGAGTTTATCATTAACCATGATCCAAGTTTGCTTTTGACATTTTGTCAAATGGTACCACCGACTATTTCCAATATTTTGCAATAGTAATTCTCGCTGCCAAGAACATACACTATATTGCCCAAAGTATTGGGACACCCCTCAAACTCGTTGGATTTTGGTGTTCCAATAACCTCCATGGCCACAGGTGTATAAAAGCAAGCACCTAGACATGCAGACTGCTTCTACAAACATTTGTGAAAGAATGTGTAGCTCTCAGGAGCTCAGTGAATTCAAACGTGGTTCCGTGATAGGTGATAGGTTACCACCTGTGCAATAAGTCCATCCATGAAATTTCCGTGCTACTAAATATTCCACGGTCAACTGTTAGTGGTATTATAACAAAAATGCTACCAAATAGTTGAAAAACTCCTCAAAATAAATACTAGTGCAGTCCAATTCCTAATTAGTCAAAAATATATAAACCATAGCCTTCTTGTGTAATCACGGTGAAAAATTTGTGTCCAAAAGAAATTTAAGTCCTTCCAACGATATCCACGATAAATGTTCCCTCAAAAAAGAGAAACATCACATAGTGCATTATCTTTTAAACTACATCAAAACATGTGACATCACTCAAGTGAGTAACCCATAAAATTATTTGCTGTGCAAATAGTGAAAGAATAGTGATAAAACTGTGAATCAAAACGGTGGAACAACAATGTGTGTGTGAATCACTCTTCAGTGTCCCCCCGCACAAACAAACACTGTGTACATATATATATATATATATATATATATATATATATATATATATATATACATACATATATATATATATATATATATATAGTAAGGAGTGGATACCCTCCTTACCAACAATCCAAAATAATGATGCTATAAAATATTTTATAGCATCATTACTTTGGATTGTTGGTAAGGGTAGCCACTCCTTACTATATATATATATATATATATATATATATATATATATATATATAGTGTGTACACAGTGTTTGTTTATATGGGGACACTGAAGAGTGATTCACACACACATTGATGTTCCATAAAGATAAGCGAGTTTGGGGTAGAGGAACTTGACTGGCCTGCACAGAGCCCTGACCTCAGCCCAATAGGACACTTTTGGGATGAATTAGAGTGGAGACTGCGAGCCAGGCCTTCTCGTCCGATATCATTGCCTGACCTCACAAATGCACTTCTGGAAGAATGGTCAAACATTCCCATAGACACACTCCTAAACCTTGTGGACAGGCTTCCCAGAAGAGTTGAAGCTGTTATAGCTGCAAAGGATGGACCAGCTCAATAATAAACCCTACGGACTAAGACTGGGATGCCATTAAAGTTCATGTGCCTGTACAGACAGGCTTCCCAATACTTTTGGCAATATAGTATATACATAATTCGTTTTTCAGATTTTTTTGGGAACCTCATCGGGTAATTTCTGAAAATGGGTGGGCTCCGGGGATCTGCAGATATTCACTCCCTTCACCGAATATATAAATTTGAACATCCGAATCCAAAATCTGGATACAATAGGACATTGCCACCAGATGTGGTGCATAGTTCCCTCTTGTCCACAGTGCAAAAAACAAGTGGGTGATGCAGTACTACGCATCTTAGCGATTCCATGAGTTCCTTATGAGCTGCAGTGAGAGATGGAAGAGCTAGGGATGTCAGAAAATGTCAAATGGACGAGGAGATATCTCCTTGAGGTTGACGATATAAAGTGGCATATGAGGAATTAAATTCTTTAAGAATTTTATGGGGGTCCTGGCAAATATTGCCCACCGTAAGTCAAATTTTTTGGAGGGCCAGGTGAGAGTGCCTTGGGGTGAGTTTATGAGCCGGGTCTATCACGCCATGTGAGATATATGCTTTTAAAGCCAACCCTTATAAATTTGAATGTGATTATCTTGGAGATATTTGTTTCCATGATAAACACACATGTGTATTAATGTACTCTTTACCATTATTACATATAGTATACAGTATGTATAGACATATTGAAGCTATGTAGCTCTTCCTTTCCAAAAACTCTGAGACACTGCACTGTTATGCACTAATAAAATAGACAAAAGGCAGTTCTAGACTCTGCACCAATTTAAGTGCTGCGCTATATGCTACCAAACATCCCCATAAAGACCCAACAAGCTCAACCAATATTTCAGTGAAAAATGTGTGAAAAGCCAATTAGGTGAATAAATCCAAAAAAAGTACTTTCAAATTGATAAACACCTGGCTGAACCTTAACTTCTCTAATTGACAAAAATGTCTATACATAAAACCAATTGCTATACAAAAAACTGGACAAAAAAACTTTGATATCCCAAGTTTCAGTGAATTGCATAATAAACACGCCTCTGCCCTCCACATTCAACACCCCGCTGCCCTCCACATACAACAGTGTAAAAATAATATACCGGTAATTATTGTTGAAATGTATCAATTGTAGTGTGAATCACATATAAATGTGAATTAATAGCAATTCAAAGTGCAGAAAAATAGCAGACAAATAATAGACCTAAATTAGTGCCAGTCCACAGTGATAGCAATAAAGTCCCAAATAATTGTCAATCCACAGTAGGTAGACTCATCAATGTTCCCCTTGCTTGTGTCTACCACAACCAGGCATGCACGCTCACGTCCCAATGTTGACCTATAAATTTACAGGTTAAGATGCGCTCAAGATAAAGTCCCTAGTTCTTTTCAGCATGTCACAGCCAGTGGGGGTCCGCTCCAGCAGGTCTCGGGCATAGAGGTGTACTCAAATAGAAACAAAGGGGCTTCTCATAGTGCAGTCAATTAAAACTTTTAATAAATGAAAAAATTACACTATACTCTGTGTGCACAATTGTTAGGCAAGTGAGTTTTTTAAACAAATCATTTTTATGCATAACATCCAACTCCAAGCTGTATAAACTTCAATGCTTATTGGACTTAAACATATTAGGTGATGTTTATTTTTGTAATGACGGAGGGTATGGCGCAAGGGTGTGGCCTAAGGAGATCAACACCTTATATCAAGGTGTGCATAATTATTAGGCAGCTTCTTTTCCTCTGGCAAAATGGGCCAAAAAAGATTACAGTAATAATACCAGCCCATAACAGAACCCCACCTCCACCTTGCTGGCGTATGAGTCGAAGGGGAGCTCTGTGCCCTGATACCTCTGTTACTAATCCAGCCAAAGGCCCATCCATCTGGTCCATCATAAGCCACTCTCATCTCATCGGTCCATAAAATCTATGAAACATCTGTCTTCAGATATTTCTTGGCCCAGTCTTGACGTTTCAACTTATGTGTCTTGTTCAGTAGTAGTCGGGTTTCAGCTTCCTTTGATCATGTCTCTGAGCACCTAACACCTTGTAGTTCTGGGCAGTCCAGTAGGTTGCAGTTCTGGAATATGATATCTTCAAGTTTGATTCCTCTCAAATCTTTAGCAATTAAATTGCCTCTTTTTTTCTCAATTGCCTTTTTTTTCTGGGTTCTGTGATCATGCCCCAATATCTTAGCAATTTCAAGAGTGCTGCATCCCTCTGAAAGACTTTTTACAACTTTTAACTTTTCTGAGTCAGTTAACTCTTTTTTTTTGCCCATTTTGCCTGAGGAAAAGAAGATCCCAAATAAGTATGCACACCTTGATATAGGGCAGTGGTCACTAAATAGCGGACCACGGTCCAAGAACTGTCTGACAGTGCTCCCGCCGGGACCACCAGCCAGCCAGACTAGAATGACAGATCCGTTGCTCAGCAGGGCGGTTGTCCTGGCAACCAATGCTATCACGCATGTGCCCCGCCCCTTGCAGCTCACTGTCTCTCCCGCTCCCTGCCTGTCTACAAGCTCGCATCCAGCCCCTGTCAGCAAGGATCCCGGCAAGCTTCTGCCTCCCGCTCTTGTCTGCCCTCAAGGTAGGGTGTATTCTTTCTGGGGGACCTTGATGGGCACATTTATATTAAGGGGCACTATGATGGGCACATTTAATGTTAAAAAGTAATGCTTATGGGCACATTTAATGTTAAGGGGCACTTTGATGGCCACAACATAGAATGTGCCCATCAGAGTGTCCCTTAGCATAAAATGTGCAAATCAGAGTGCCCCTTAACATAAAATGTGCCCATCACCGTGCCCCTTAATTTAAATGTGCCCATCAGAGTGCTCCTTAACATAAAATGTGCCCATCAGCATGCCGCTTATTTTATGTTAAGGGGCACACTGATAGGCAGATTGTATGTTAAGGGGTACTCTGATGGGCATCTTTTATGTTGAGGGGGCACTCTGATGGGCACATGTTATGTTAACGGGGCACATGTGATGGAATATGATGTAAAGGGGCACTCTGATGGGGAAATATGATGGAAAGGGGTACTTTGAGTGTAAGGGGGCACTCTGACGGCAATACCTGATGTAAGGTGGCAATGTGATGGGGATACCTGATGTAAAGGGGCACTCTGACGGGCACAGCTGATGTAAAGGGGCACTCTGATGGGGACAGCTGATGTAAAGGAGCACTCTGACGGGCACACCTGATGTGATGTGAATACATGATGTAAAGTTGCACTCTGATGGCGACATCTAATGTAAGGGGGCACGCTGATGGGCACACCCTATGTAAGGTGTCACTGTATCACGTACCTGGTGTTAGAGGCCAATGGAGAGAAGGCTTCCCTTGCAGCTAAGTTCCAGACTCCCCTGGATATGGGACAGAAGGAGTCAGGCCCAAAGTAGCACAGGTCGCCTGTAGGATGCTTGTCAGAGGTGTACCCAGAAGCACAGCTGATGCACTGGAATGGTGTCTGCAGACAGGTGACACCTGTGAGAGGTACGCAGGCCTTCAGAGTAGCACAGAAAACCACAGAGTAGTCCGTTCAAAGCCAAGGTCAGAACATGGACAAAGGTACTGGGGAGCCAGAGATCAACTAGCAATTTGAGGGAGTGATGGGCTTCCTTATAAAGGCCGTCTGGTGCCAAACTGAGCTAATGCGTGCATAACTGTGCACCAGTGCGCATGCATGTTCCAGCTTGTGTTTGTGCGCCAATGTGCATAGATTTTCATCAGTGTGCATTTCTGCGGCCATGCAAGGTACTGGCAGGAGTGCCAGGTCTCTGAGTACCTCTGCTGTGGACAGAGCCCTAACACACTGTGATGGTGGAACCTTATATAATGGGGCACTCTAATGGGGACAACTGATGTATGGGGGCACACTGATGGGAGACACCAAATGTAAGGGAGCCTTCTGATGCAGAAACCAGATGTAAGAGGGCACTCTGATGGGAATTCCTAATGTAAGAGGGCACTGTGATGGGAATGCCTGATGCAAGGGGGCACTCTATAGGAAATGCCTGATGTATGGGAGCACTCTGATGGGAACATATTACTTAAGGGGCACTCTGATGGGAACACCTGATATAGGGGAGTACTCTAATGGTGGCAACTGATTTATGGGGGAAGTCTGATGGTAACACCCAATGGAATAAATTACTCTGGAGAGGGAAACTGATGTAAGGGGGAACACTAATGGGGGCATTTATTTTCGGACCTCGGCCAGAAGAAGATTTTAGTGACCGGACCTCCTTTAATTTAAATTCAATACCCCAGATATAGGGTGTTGATCTCCTTAGACCTCACCCATACTCATTACACATCACCTGATATTCTTAAATCCAATAAGCATTTAAGTTTATACAGGTTGGAGTTGAACAATATGCATAAAAATGATGATTTGACAAAAAAAACTCACTTGCCTAATAATTGTGCACACAGTGTAAGTATAGGGGCTAAAAGCCCATTTAAGCATATCAAGCAGGGACAGGAAGCTGGTGAGTATGGGCGGAATTTAAATGTCCAAACGAAGACATGTATTCTTGGTGACTACAAAAACCTGTTTATACACCATTTTGTTGGAGACTAAGCAGCAAACACATAACAGTTATAAAAGCGGTATATAAAAACTACTCAGTCTGCAAGAAATCGGCCAAATGAAATAATGCAATTTACCTTATTTATCAATCCATAAATCAGTACTATATATATATATATATATATATATAAAATATAAAAGGAGATAAATAAATAAATCCAAAAACCTCAATAAAATATGTATATAAAAACAATGTACACAAGCGCCCTTTCATGGTGGTAAGTAAACAGTCAAAGGGCGACATACCAATAGTTAAACAGTAACTCTAGACTAATACGAATATATAAGCTAACTGGTACCAACATTTAAAGAGTAACTCAAGATTAATACTAATGAGAACTTTAAGCTAAAAAAAAGGGGGATTATAAAAAGCAAAACCCTAAATAAAATCCAAAATAACTATACAGTCTCACTTTAATTTGTGACCTTTCTATAAGTCAATCTACCCAACTGATAACAAGGAAAAAATATAAAAAAAATCACTAAGAAAACAATTGATATCAAATTTGATGTTAAGACCTAGTGGGGCTAAAGTCTGCATGTCAAAAATCCACCTCAACTCTGCTTGGCTCAGAGATCTAATTTTATTGTTCCCTCTCCAATGGGGGCGATATTTCTCAAAGCCCCAAAATTTAAGACAAGATGAATCCTTATTATGGCATAATGTTTCAAGACACTGTGCTTGGTATAACCCTTCTTAGTATTCTGAACATGTCCTCTTAAGCGGGTCCACAACGGTCTTTTTGTTTTTCCAATATATTGGATCCCACAGGAGCATTGAAGGGTATATATTACACCCTTAGTTTTGCATGTAATACAATCTTTGATTTGATACTGCATTCCCGTCACATGTGAAGTAAAACTATCTCTTTTAATATTTCACCTCTTAGTTGCGACATGAGAGTAGCAACGTTTACAGGGGAAGAAACCTTTTTGGTTAAAAAAGGAAATCTGTCGATTTTTTGGGGGGGGGGTCAATTATATTTCTGGCAATTCTTTGACCCAACGTAGGTGCTCTCCTATAAATGAATTTCAGATAGTCTGGTAGGAGATCTTTCAGATGTCTGATTTAAGGATAGGCCAATATTTGGAAAATATCTTTTCAATCTTCCTATAATGAAAACTGAAATCCAATATTATCGGAATTGGATCTTTTGATTGATCTTCTGTCCTCTTATCTTCAATCAAATTCTTCTTTTCATAATCTTCTTTGATCTTCTGATTAATAAAATTTTCCTCAAATCCCTTTCATATAAAACAATGTCCAATTACCGCAGCCTGCACTTCATAATCTTTCTTTCTCTGTACAATTCCTCCTTTGCCCTTGGATATATTCATTAACCAGGGTAGATGATATAAGCTATCAAAACGGGCTAGCCATTCTGATCTACTGTTTTGAAATGCGTTTTAGTAGCAAACTTCCTTTCTTCTACATTATTTCCAGGTCAAGAAACATAAGTTTATTATTTTCATACTCCCATGTTAATCGGATCTCCTTCTCATTACAATTCAAAGTATTCAAAAATGATTCTAAACTATCCTTATCTCCTTCCCATATAATCAAGATGTCATCAATAAATCTCTTGTATGTACTTAACTCTTTTGGTCTATTTCGATAAATAACTTCCTCTTCCCACTGGGACATAAGCAAATTATCTAGGTTGGGTGCAAACCTAGCCCCCATAGCTACCCCTGTGTTCTGTTTGAAGTATTGATGGTCATGCCAGAAGTAATTATGTGTCAAACAAAATTCCAAACACTTTAATAGATACTTCCTCTGTGAGCAGTGAAGCTCACTCAATTCTCTCAATTCGTCCAATTTGTAGCACCCAACACATCCTGGTGTCCTATGATAGTATACAATGAAGAGACATCCAATGAGTAGTATTGGTCCTTCTCTTATAGGTGTAGATTCCAATATTTGGATAAAATGTTTAGTATCTCTAAGATAAGATATGACTTAATTTTATGCACAGGAGGATGCAAAAACTTATCCAAATATTGACCCATTCTTGATGCCACTGAATCAATCCATTGACTATTGACGACCCGAGGGTTTTTCTTTATCTTTATGAATTTTTGGCAATGCACAGTGCTCAGCAAAACTGAGTACACCCCTTTTGAAAAGTATGATTATAATCAATATTTAAATGAACACAAGAACAATTTCCAAAAGTGTGACAAAACTGAGTTTATAGAATATTTGTTTATCTCATTGCATGACAGTAAGGTTAATAATATAACTTAGATTACAAAATCTTCAATTACTCAAATTAGTTGATGCAAAAATGAATACACCCTATAGCAAAAACTACTACATCTAGTATTTTGTATGACCTTCATGAATTGTAAGACAGCATCAAGTCTTCTAGGCATGGAATGAACAAGTTGGTGAAATTCTGCAACATCTATCTTTTTCCATTCTTCAAGAATGACCTCTTTTAGAGCCTGGATGCTGGATGGAGAGTGATGCTCAACTTGTCTCTTCAGAATGCATCTTAGGTGTTCGATTGGGTTCAGATCAGGAGAAATACTTGGCCACTGTATCACTTTCACCCTGTTCTTCAGAAATGCAACAGTGGCCTTAGATGTATGTTTTGAATCATTGTCATGTTGGATAAGTGCACGACGACCAAGGGCACAGAGTGATGGTAAAATCTTCTTTTAATATAGAGCAGTAAATCTGTGATAGCATTAATGAAATGCAGATCCCAACACCAGCAGCACTCATGCAGCCCCAGAAAAGGACACTGCCACCACCATGTTTCATTGTAGGCACCATGCATTTTTCTCTGTATTCCTCACCTTTGCGAGGCCATACAGTTCCGAAAACATTTATCTTGGTCTCATCACTCCAGAGTACAGAGTCCAAGTAGTCTTCTTCTTTTTCAGCATGGGCCCTGGCAAATTCAAGGTGGGCTTTTTTTGTGCATTGGCTGTAGGAGAAGCTTCCTTCGTGGATGACACCCATGCATGCCATCCCTCTGCAGTGTATGCCTTATTGTGTCAAGGGAAACAATCACCCCAATTTGCTTTCTACTTCTTTAGGTAACTGCAGTGAACTTGCAATGGTTGCAGTTCCATCTTTGTTAAATTTTTGTATCACTTTTGCTACAGTATTTTGACTGATATGTAAAGCTTTGCTGATCTTCTTGTAGCCTTCACCTTTCTTGTGTAAATAAATTATTTTCTTTCTCAGGCCTTGTGACATTTCTCTTCCATTTAGTGTCATTACTTACAGCATGAATTGGGAAGGGGTTTTCTTTGTTAAGTAATGCCTTTTTATAATCAACTGTTTGCTGGACTGTTTAATGAATAATTAGACTCGCCTGTAGTTGAATTCTTGTTAATTAGAATTTTTTTTTCTAAAATGTAGCTTTGCCCCTAAAACTTTCATTGGGGTGTATTCATTTTTGCAACATGGTCTTGAATGAATTTGTTATGAATAATACGTGATTCCAAAAGGAAAGTAAAGGTTTTCTGACAAATCTGTTGGGTGTACTCATTTATGCTGAGCACTATATATCACTGGTATTCTACATGAATCAGGAACAAGATACCTTGCTTCTCTATCATTCAAAATCTTCTTCTTAACTTCTTTTTTTTCACCAAAGCTTCCAGATCCTTTTTATACTTCATTGTTGGATTCCTTGGTAATCTCTCATAAGTATTTGTATCTTCAAGTTGTTTCTTCAGATCATCTATATAATATTCTTTTGACAAAATTATTTTTCCCACCCCCTTTGTCGGCTGGTCTCACAACAATATCCTTCCTTTTCTCCAAACGTCTAATGCCCTTCTCAATTTCCTTAGATTCACTAATTTTTGATAATTTCATATCATACAGCTCCTGCGTGACCATCCTTTTTTTTACACAACTCCATATGTCCACTCTCATAAACTTGAGGATTAAATAAAGATTTGTTTCTCTACGTTGTATGTTGTACTTCTGTCCAAGTATTCCTCATCATAGCATTTCTCTTATCTGGCTTGGTCATCATATATTTTTCAATGTTAAGTTTCCTAACATATTTATGTAGATCGACATAAATATCAAATTTATTAACATTCTTTTTCGGAGCAGATTTAGGCCCCCTATCTAAAACTTTCAATTCCTCATGAGTCAGTTGAACACTACTAAGATTAAAAAGATAAACACTTGCCTATTACTTTATTCATGCTCGAAGTATCTAAAGTATATGGGAAATCGACAATATTGCTAAATAGCAGGATGAACAATTGGCTTTTGTAAACTGACACATAAAACTTTGGCACCCCATTTACAATCCCTATTAGTCAGGTGCTTCATCTGCCGTTGTCCTGATAAAAACTATAACCTGCAAAACTGTTTTACTCAACTATCACAAATCCCTAAAACACATAAGTACATAC